AGTTCCATTTGCATTTGTAATTGTGGCATCCTTTAGTGAGGCCCTTGCCTGGGGGAGATTAATACCACTGCCCATTGACCCTTGCCTGGAGGAGATTAATACCATAGCCCATTGACCCTTGCCTGGGGAAGATTAATACCATAGCCCATTGATCCTTGCCTGGGGGAGATTAATACCATGGCCCATTGGACCTCGCCAGAGGGAAAACAATGCCGTGGCCCATTGGATAATTGAAACACAGAGATCTCTAATGTTAGACCTTCATGGTCACACTGAATATTGAACATTGATTGACCCTCGCGGTCCCATTGTTATTAAAGCATTATTACTCTACTGGATATGCCACATGATTTGAATGAAATGGTTATTGATGCCAAGGTTAACTGGATATGTGAAAATGACATTTATAATGATATTGAACTTCATTCATATAACCTCTTTATTCTATTATTACTCATTGGGTATTAGCTCACTATTTATGTATGTATGTAGGTGAGCAAGTTGGGCATCAAGGATAGAGAGTGCCTCGGAATCACCCAGTGGTTAGCCTTTTGTGGAACTCCCGTAAAGAAGCCAACTTGGACTCGTGTGGAGCCAAGCAAAGTCTAAACCCCTTTTTGGTTATGAACTCTTAGCTTGGTTTTCGGTATAAAGGTTTTGCGTATGACAATTCTCATATTCCCTGAAATTCATCATTTATATAAATATAAATAAGAAATTTTCCAAACATCCATTTATTTTGACACAAAATAAATATAACAATATCATTCATGGATTTTCAGTCTCCTTTAAAAAATATCCCCAAATTTTAGGTTTTCTCACCAAAACTATACAACTCAAATATTTTGAAAGAAAACTTTCCAAAATCGTATTTTCTTCAATCAAGGAAGATCAAAACCGATAAGATCATTTTAAAAGAACAAGAGACAAACCCACTTTCAAAATCGCTCAACTTCATAAATCAACAATCAATTTTCAAAGCTATCAAAAGATGATTTCAAAAATTATATTGATCTTGCAAAAATATATATATAACTCTAAGAAAATTCCTACCTCAAGTTTTGAAGAAGAAATGAGATGAAACCCCCAAAATCAACGGTGTCGAAACTCGATCTTCACTGCACACAACGAAGCCCTCGAGAAGTTAACCAACTTTGATGAAGAATCTATGGCAGAACTCTAATAGATCTTGAGAAATCAAGGTTTTGATCCAATTTGGCGTAGGGAAATGTAGAGAAAATGAAGAGGAAAGGGTTTTTAGAGAGAGATATATATACAAAAGTGATCTGAAATATCAGATTCACGAACTGATATAACACGGTCAATACACTTTCCCAGTACTTTTGCAGATAGGTCAAACTTCTAGAACCAAACATTATCTGCTCGTGCGCATAAACGGCTGCTCGAGCGAACAAGCAACTTCTAATGCATTTTGCATTTTTGCTTCGGGGGTGCTGCCTCTCAACCCCGCCAGGGCGCTGCCCTAGGACCCGACAAGGAGCGCTGCCCCTTAGTCCCCCGCGAGCTGACTGGGTAGCTCGATCCACACCAGGGTGCTGCCCTAGGACCCGCTAAGGGGCGCTGCCCCCTGGACCCTCATGAGCTGACCGGGCAGCTCGATCCCCGACATACTCAACGAAGCGGCAAAACTGGGATCACTACACTATGGACCAAGTTGGTTATGCAAAAATTGCCACACGTGCACCGCCCGCCCACCGGGTCTAGATCTGGGTTCGGGTCCGTTGGTCGTGGATCATGGATCTTGAGGCTTGAGGGAATAGGTTAGGTCTGGGCTGGGTTGAATTGTTAGCCCACCTATCTTAATCTTTTTGGGCTAAGGCAGATTTGTAGGCTACAGGATTATATACATTACACATGTGTATAAAAATATGTAACTCCTCTATAATCATGATGGATTAAATCCATCAGTTTTGCAGATTTATTTCTTGGCAGTTTTGTAGAAATTAAATCCTGTATTTTTTGTAGAAGAGCTCTTCCTCTCTCCCTCCATGTGTATAAAAGGAGGCCCCTCTCCTTTAGTTTTCAACCTAGAAAATTCATCTCTCTTTGTATTTCAAAGTTTCTCTAATTTTATATTCTTCCTAGTGTGAGAGAGTGTTGCTTAAGTTCTGTTCACTGAAGCTACACCGTAGGTGCTTAGTTGTAGCTGGCCCAACCATCGTATCCTGGGAGACAGACGTCGAACAACCTCCAACACCCCAATCGGTAAGGCGGCGAATCTGTTTTAAAGAAACTGTCTAGTGCAGGCTTCGGTTTGATTTATGTTCTTGCGTATATTGTCATGTATTTCTATTCTTCTAGTTGTTATTTCTAGCATGATGTCTTATTCTGTAATTTAAATTATAAAATATGAATTTATTTCTTCTATTTGATTCCACAATTTTTTATAACAAATAGCAGTACCATTATGATGCATAGCTGTGCAACTTATATGGCAGTTACTTAGTTAGTTAGTTAGACAGTTTGTTAGGCTGTTAGATTGTATATGTATGTATGGTTGGTTAGAATAGCAGAGATAGGTGATTGTATAAAAAGACCTCTGTAATTGAGATATGAAGAAATGGAAATGGAATAAAGAATTTCATCAAATTCTCAATTGTACTCACTCATACTTGTATGAAAATATAAGGGGAATTTAATTCAATGTAATATTTTAAAAAACTTATAAATAATGATAAACTTTATACATATTAAAAATTAAAAATTTAAATTTTTTCATAATTTTGTAATTTTTTTATAAGCCCACTAACGGATAATTTTCCAAAAATAGAATCATTTGCAGTTATGAATTTTTCTTTAAATTTTAACAATTTAGTGCACAATTAAATTTCATCTTTGTCCATCGAGAGGGGTGAATAGGACAGTCAAGAGAAAATCAATACCAATTTAACAATTCACTAGTGATGAATTGATCTCAAGCAAATTTAAAATGTAATTGTTTAACTAATCAATTAATCACTCCAACACTTAGGCTGCATTTGGGATAAACTTTTTTAGCCTAATTTATTTAACTATATTTTTGTAAGTAAATTAAAGTTGTTTATATAATTGTTCTTGTTTTAATAAGAATTGTAAAATTGGAATAAAAGATATTATTAAGGAAAAGTGAATCCCAAGGGTTTGGCCTAATGGGTGCAGCTTAGGGCCTGGGGGTGTGCTCCCTCCAAGTCTTAGGTTCCACGTGGAGGGGGAGTTTTGTGTGGATCTGAGATTAGTCAACACCCAGTCATCAAAAAAAAGGAAAAGTGAACTTTTTTATAATAAATTATAAAAAATAAAAATTAATTGTCTACATTGAAATTTAATTGAATTCATTAATACTCTTGAAAATAAGATTTATTGAATTTTTTTTTTCTTTCAAAATTTATGTTTGAATGGCCTACTCTAGTTTCCCTTGATAATTGTTAGAGATAGGATATGACGAAAACCAACTTGGGTGGCTGGGAGACTTTTATGAAATGTGATTGGAAACAAGCAAAAATTATTCTATAGGACTAGTTTATATTCCATGTGATTTGCCCTTCAAAGTGTATGGGGTCATATAACTAATTTTTCGTATACTTTCTCATTGTGATTAAGATAGGCACACAACCAAAAATTATCTATTAGGTCTAGAATACCACGTGTCCATGTATTTGTCCAATAATATTCCATAATATCTCCACTATTTTCTTATTTTTGAAACTATGTATTTATTTGGCCCCTGGTATTCGTCAGGCACATGGCTAACGTGAAATTCCCGCAAAATATAATAATTCCTCGCATAACGATCTGGCATAACGGATCAACTAGATTACTTGGAAACAAGGGAATACTTTGAAATTGATACATGTTGAACTTTCAAAGTGGCTCAACTCATACTCACACTGCCCAATTTTATCAGTTTGAAACCCATTTAAATCCATCAAACACGTTATAAATGAGTTTCATTTATAAATGAGTAAGCCCATCAATTTTAACTGCTTAATTAGATAACAAGAAATTTAATTCACATAAGCATCAATGTTATGATGCACTTTTTTGTACAGGTAGTATTATTGTCGAAGTTAAAGGCCAAGGGAGCTATAAAGTTCATAGATAAGGTCGGCACTGATTTCTATATTTTCAAATATAATGTAGAAAAATTGTCCCATAAATAGCTAGAAAAAAAAAAGAAAAAACGAAAAAGAAAGGAAAGTATAAGAAGAAGAAGAAGAATGATTATTGATTGCTTTGGTTTTTTTGTATAAAGATTATTTATTCCAAAGTATGAAGAAGGCATTTAAGAGTTAAGTCAAACTTGGAGTAGTTCAATCTACTTGAGGGGAAAAAATGAATAATATGCTTTTATGAATTAGAAGAAGTAAAAAGAAACATAAAAATGAGTAGAAGCTACTAGGCATTAAATCAACATCACTTTCTTCTTCTTGAACAAGCTGTCCAATTTGTAGTAGCTAGAAAATAACCTCCATATGCTTCTCTTTCTTTCTCTTGAACAAGCTATCCTTAAGCGCAAAATTATGAGAGTCATAATTAAGTCATAACTAACACCACAATGAGTTATAACCAACACCACAACGGGTCACAACCAAAGACAACAAAAATCATAACTAGCCATATGGTACACACCTTAAAAAAGGGCACGTATTATAGAATCTTTCTCTTTTTTAATGTTTATAATAGTCATTTAATAGTTAATTGTATTTGGGAGATTAGTAGAGAAACTACAACAATATAAAAAGGAAGATTAGCTTCTCAGGATATAATGAATGACAATTCTAGTACACCAAACTACCACCAGTTGGGGAAAAAAATAATTAAAAAAAACCCACTGTATATGTGTGAGCTTCCCTCATTCATCCAATTGTGTCATCTACAATTAGCAATTATTTCCATGGTTGTTTTCTAGCTTATGAACAACATTTCTAATCAATACTGCCCATATTGCCATTTTCCTACCGTAATTAATCACAAAATTCCCATGTCTCAATAAGTGCTAGTCAATATCTCCAGTGTGATCCCTTAATCACCATTGAATTAAGAATGTTTGACCTCCCTACAAGCAAACTTGGCAACATTTCAACAAGGAGAAACACGACATTATTTTCAATGTGAATTCTCTGTCCAATACCCAACATTTTAGTCATTCAAAAATGATTAAGAATGTACCAAGAGGAATGGTTTCAGTAGTAACTTGTAAGATTGCATTTAAAACTTCAAAACTTGTCAAGGTTTAGTCTTCTATGACAACAATCTAATTTAAAAGCAACTACATACAAAAGTGCAAATCTCTAAAGGTAGTACATGATGCGAGAAAAGAAACAACAAAGAGTCATGACATGAAACTCTTATTTAACTCAGCGCTTTAAGAAAGCTAGACAGCTTAACAAAGCTTTAGACTTCACCAGAACAGCAAGGGTAAAGCTTTTGAGGTGATCCTGCATGGTTGCTATCCTGATGCACATACACTCAAATGCATCAGCTAGGTGAGAAACCCCTTCAACTAGACACCATTGCTTTATTGTGCTATTAAATGGGATAGATCTAGTTTTGAAATAAAAACATTAGGAACTCAACTATAGCTTATGGATAGGAACCATAAAAAATAAAGTAATGCTTCGAATATTAATTCCACTTACCTACTAACGCCATTTGTTTTTGCTGATTCTTCTTTCGCTGCATCAGTGGGCACACTTCTTAGACCTTTTCACCTTCTTATATTGTCCTCCTTCAACAATTTTCATAAGCCATTCTAGTATTCAAGTTACAAACATAAGATGTCCCATAACCATTATAAATACATATCAACATCCATATCCCATCACTACAACTTTCCAGTTAAATTTGCTCGCAAAGTTTTAATTTGCATCTTCTTCATTATTTTGACATTTCTTTGATAAGGGAAATCCATACAACGCCAAGTTCCCACTATATGAATCTTTTTCAAATGTATTAAACTATAGCGATCCCGGTTGTCCCTTTACTGTTCTGTTGTGTTCCGGACTCGGTTCCGTGAAGTTGGTAGTGGTATCTATCTTGTGGTCGTCCTTTAATTCCACTTGATTGAGTTTTAGGATGTTTTGAACAGGGTTGTTACAGGTTGGTTAGGCCTTGGTTTCAATTTCTTGTTGCTCAATTTTTAGGCGATCCGCTCGAGCGGGTCTCCTTGCGCTCGAGCGGGGATTGCACTCCTCCAGTATTTCGTGTTCCTCAAAACTTCTGCAGATGTGATTTTTACGCTCGAGCGGGTTTGTTTACGCTCGAGCGGTGGCGCTCGAGCGGGTTTGGTGGCGCTCGAGCGGGTAGTACCTTCTGGGTATAAGTTCTGGGAGGGGGAAATCTACGCTCGAGCGGACTGGTTTCCGCGCTCGAGCGGAAGTGCTTTATTCTTGTGTCTTGGTGCTTGAGCGGGCCTTATTGCGGTCGAGCGTGTCCAGATTTTGTTCTTGGCGCTCGAGCATTGTGTTCTCCGCTCGAGCGGGTCATGCGTATATGAGTTATCCGCTGGGTCATTTTAAATCACCTTTTTCACTTCCCTTCTCTCTCTTACTTTTCCAAAACACCATTGTTGAGCTTCTCACTCTAGAACTCTACCTTCTCTCTAGGTATTGATCTAGTAGGAGTGATTTCCTCACCTTTGGCCTTTACAAAAAAGTTGTTGATCGTCGAGGGCTATCTTGTGATCCGAGAAACTCGTGATTTGGAGCAAATTCGTTTTCATCATCTTCTTCGTTGATTGTCATCTTTTGAGGTAGGGATTCCTACTCACTCTTATGGTCTTTGACCTAGATTTCTAGTTGTTTGATAGAGTGTTGAACTTGGGAAATTTTGGGACTTAGGGTTTCAAAATGTGTAAAAAGGATTTTGTGATTTCAGGCTCATAACTTGTATTTTGGGTTCCAAAGTGATGATATAGTTGTTGGTTGTTGATATTAGGCCATTGGGTCAATATTGGGAAAGTGGGTAGAAAACCCTAATTTGTGGTGTAAATTAATTGGCATAATTAATTTGGAAAACAATTGTGAACTTATGGAATTGTGTTGGAAATAATGAAATTGGCTCATTATGTTGTGAAATGATGGAGTTGGAGTTGTAAATCACTCGCTTTTGAAAGTATTGATATTTTATCTGTTGGAGCTTTTATTATCTGTTTAGAAATAACTACTTGGGCTACCGGTGGAGGGTAGTTTTGATTGTTGTAGACAATGCATGATGATTAGGCAAACTAAAACTAATCAACTGGATATGTCATAGAGTATGACGGTTGTTAGAATACATTAACGTTATGTATTGATTGATTGTGTATATGACCTTTGTGTATATATGCATTGTGTGTGTGGAAGGAGATAGGGGATGTACTCCACGGTTTAAGGGAAGATAGGGGATGGACCTCTAAACCGGATGTTGTTTGGGAGGAGATAGGGGATGGACTCCACTGATACAACTCATATGCTTGTCAGATAATGTGTTGATACAGCTCATATGCTTGTCATTGGAAGTGTTGATACAGCTCATATGCTTGTCATTGGAAGTGTTGATATAGCTAATATGCATATCTGTTGAAATGTGGATACAGCTTGTATGCTTATCTGTTGAGATATTGATATAACCTGTGTGTTTATATATTGTAAGAAAATGGAAAATGTTTAAAATGAGTCTTTGTCTCATATAAGTGGTTGGCCAGGTTCTGCGCCATTGATGGAAATTGTGAAATTGATAAGAAACGGAAACGGATTATGAATTGGTTTATGAAAATTGAACATTTATCAATTGCTAATGTCTTAGTCATTGCTCATACTGTGTTTAGCATATCTCTATTGGGCTGTGGCTCACCCTATATGGGAATATCATTTTCAGGTACAGGTAGCATGCCATCTCCAAGGACGTAGCTTGGGAGGCTAGAGGCGGGCAGACTTTTGTTGTTTAGTTTCTTGATGTATTACATGTATATTCAAGCCAAGGGCTAAATGTGTAAATGAGTTAGTACTCTTTTGTTGTAACCAAGTGTTAACTTGGAAAGCTGTAAGCCCTTAGGGCATTTGCTTTTGTCGTTAACATGTAATACTTTTGGTAGTGGAACTCTGATGAATAGAAGAATGTGGAACTTTTATATATCCATGCATGTTTGTATTGATGGGTTTAATGTTATTATTTTGAGGGCGTTACATAAACTGGCTCCCTTGAGGAATTGGTCCCACTAGTTAATTAATCGAAAGGTTTAGTACCTCAAGAAACATCAAACTTGTAAACTTGTTTGAGGATAGATCCAATGATTCAAGGTTTTTCAAATTTCCAAGTGAAGTTGGGATGTGGTCTTTCTGGTTGTTATGAGATAAGTTAAGATATCGAAGTGAATTAAGCCTCCCAACGGATTTCGGAATCTCTCCTATAAATTTGTTGCTCGATAAATCAATGATTGACAAAATGGTTAAGATTCTTGAAAATTCAATCTCATGTCCTTTCATAATCACCACCACATAATCATAATAATAGATATCACCCATGTATTTCAATTTCATTGCATGTTCATCCACATTCATCATAGCTTCAAATTTTTCATATAATTCGTTGGCAAAAGGCCACTGAACTCATTGTAAGATATGTCAATAATCCTCAACTTAGTGAAAGAAACTTTACTCTTGGTCTTAAAGGAGTCTATGTGACCATGAAACCTATTAAATCTCAAGACCAGACCTGCAATTCCAGAAGAGTTCCTAACCAGTGGGGGAATGTATCATTTATCTTGTTTATTCCAAGATCTAGAACATCCAAGTGTTCACTATTGAGCAAAGCTCGTAGAACTTGTCCCTCAATCTGGTTGCCATTCAAGTTAAGATTCCTTAGCATGCTACCTTTTTTAAATGCTACAGTAAAGGTTCCATGAAAGCTATTCATCCCTAAATTCAGCACTGAGAGACTATTGCTGAAGTTTCCCAAACAATGTGGAATAATGCCACTGAAATTGATATTAGACAGATCAAGAACTCTAAGTGAGTTTAGACTGCAAATTAAAAGAAGGATTTCCCCTGTCAATTTATTATTTGAGATAGAGAAAGCAATTATGGTGATAGATGGAATATGGAGTGGTCCATGGAGTAAGTTGGAGTGCAGGTCAATAAATTGTAGTGTTTTCCATGGAAGTTCCTTGTAAGAAAATTATTAGAAAGATCCAAATCCTTTAATGAATGTTTCCCCACATCCAATACCCATTTTGGAACTTCACCACCAATTTTGTTGTTTCAAAAGGTCTAGAGAAAGAAATTCAGCCTGTACTTCAAGAAGTTTGGACATTCGCTGAGGTTGCAAGAAGCTAATCCTACAATGTAAAATTTGAGCATGGTAGAGTTGACACTGTTATTGATGCTCAATGAGAGACCATTATGTGAAAGGTCAAGGTGGGAGAGATGTTTTAGCTTTAGAAGCTTATCTAGCTCCACTATACCACTTAAGTTATTTGATAAAAGCTACAATTGTGTCAGGTTCACGAGTTCATAAACAGATCCTGGAATTTGTCCTTGCAACTTATTGTCTCTCAATTCTTTAGAAACCAATGAAGGTAGAGTAAATAACCAAGATGGTATTATCCCATTAAGTGAGTTAGTTTTTAAATCAAGGTAAGTTAACCTAGAAAACCCAATTGTATACAAAGGAATGGGACCTATTAGTTGATTTCTAGAAAGGTTCAAGAAAGCAAGTTGGCTCATGTTGCCAATGGAATCTGGTAATTGTCCGTTCAAATTGTCATTAGAAAGAAACAAGTGAGTATGCTTTGCAAGGTTTGAAATCGATAAGGGGATTTGACCGCTAAAACTATTATACATGAAGTACAAATTGGTGATTTGTTAAGGTTCCCAAGAGAAACTGGAATGGACCCCGAAAAGTTGCACTCAATGAGGTACACACTATTCAAGGCTTTAAGATTGCTGATTGAATCAGGCACTTGGCCAGAAAAATTTGTCCTTGAGAGATTAATAATCTGAAGGGAACTAGATATATTATAGTTTGGAAGTTTACCTGTGAGGTCCCTATTATCCCATAACTCGAGCTTTTTAGGTTTGGGAGGTAGAAAATGTTTTGTGGGAATTTCCTACGCAGTTGACAAGAAGAAAGACTGAGAGATGTCAAAGAAGATAGATTTAACAAAGCATGAGGTAAAGGTGAAGAGATATCCAATGCATCAAGGTGTAGTTCTCTTAACTGGATTAGGTTCTGAAAGAGCATATTGAAAGTGCGTTGTTCAAGTCTCCCCTCATGAATACCAGAAAAATCGAGCGAAATCAATTTGGACAGCTGGGAGATTTCTAAAGGAATTCAACCTAAAAATAAAGAGTTTGAGAGGTTGAGATGGGTCAAATTCATGAATGATCCAAACTTAGATGATATTCTAGAGAATCTGAAGTCATTCAAGGCAAGATTTAGCGTCTGGAGTTGACGAAGGTGGAAAGGCTGCTATTGGTTTGGATGGTGCCCTGAAGCTCACTACAACTAAGGTCAAATCCAATTACATGACCATTCAACTAGTCGCAGATGACCCCCTCCCATGAGCAGTAATCAATACTCTCATTCCAGAACTCCATTTTAGGATGAGAATAAGATTTACACTGTAAAAAGGTAAGCCACTTATGACAATTTTTTTTTAAAAAAAAAAATTGGAGTAGTGCGGATCTTTGATCCTCAAGGCACATAGGGCGTGCAAAAGTAGAAAAAGACCATGATGATGAACATGTAAGAACTTGTGAAAACGAGAGAAACAACAGAAATTGACAAAGCAATATTAGCCAACTCATTTCTCCTTATGGGAATCAAAGATGTGAAAATGAATAAGTTGGATATTTGATGATGGAGAAGGATAAGAGTAAATGTATTCTTCTTATACACACTGCTAAGTAACAGTAACTCTTTCTCTGGTGCAGCCCATCAAGTAAGGCAACAATGTAAATTGTAATTATCCACTCTTCAAACAAGCTTGTCTTCCATCAACGTTTGGTATGACGGAAAATGAAAATCAACTGAAACATTTTCAGTTGATCATGAAAAAAAGTTTATTTGGGTGAAAAATATTTTTTGAACTAAACTCTTGTCCTACCAACGACATCAGACAACCTCCACCTCCACTACCCTACTACTATTACCGACAACAATAGCACCATAATTTTTGCTCCATCACTGCCGCTACCATTTCCATACCAACATTTCCACTGCCACAATCACTAGCACATTAATTTTAAGGTCACAATCAAATATTGAAAAATATTTGTTTTTTATTTGTAATAAACATTTTTGTTGGGTCGGTAGACCTTAATAAGTACTGTTCACACAACCCTACTATTCACTTAAACACTAGGTCCAATGAAGGGGTTTGGGGGGGCCTCCCTTGGGGGAAGGGAGGTCTCAGGGAGATTGAAACAGACCCCAATGCAGTGGCGCAAGAAGTTTGATGGGTTTGTGTGTAGCAGTGGTTTTACAAGATGTCAAGCAGATCATTGTTGTTATTTCAAGAGGTTTGAAAAAAGTTATATTATTTTCTCTTATATGTTGATGATATGCTTATCGCAGGATCTAGCATTGAAGAGATAAAAAGATTAAAGAAATTTTTGTCTAACCAATTTGAGATAAAGGATCTGGGAGTTGCAAACAAAATCCTTGGAATGAGGATTCATAAGGACAAGGCAAATGGTACTTTGAAGTTGTCACAGGCTGAGTATGTCAAGAAAGTTTTCAAGAGGTTTAGCATGGATGGTACAAAACCAGTGAGCACTTCATTGGCTAGCCATTTCAGACTTACCAAAGAGCAGTCTCTGAAGACCGAAGAAGAGCAAGCTTACATGGAACATGTTCCATATTTTTCAGCTACTGGTAGCATAATGTATGCTATGGTTTGTACTAGACCAGACATTGCACATGCAGTGAGAGTGGTTAGTAGGTACATGAGTAATCCAAGCAAGCAGCATTGGGAGGCAGTGAAGTGGATCCTTTAGATATTTGAGTGGTACTACAGACATGGCCCTTTGTTTCAGACGAACCGGCATCAGGTTACATGGTTATGTTGATGCAGACTTGGCTGGTGATATGGATAACAGAAAGAGTACTACTGGTTATGTTTACATATTGGGTGGTACAACAGTGAGTTGGATTTCATAGTTATAGAAGATTGTGGCCCTTTCTACAACAGATGATAAGTATGATGCTATTACTGAAGCTGGGAAGGAGATGACTTGGTTACAGAGTTTCCTAGCAGAGTTGGGTAAGACGCAAGAGATGAGTATTTTGCATAGTGACAGTCAGAGTGTTATTCATCTTGCAAAGAATCCGGCTTTTCATTCTAGGACGAAACACATTCAGCTGCGATACCATTTCATTCGTTCACTTGTAGATGATGGCGTCTTGTCTCTTGAGAAGATCCAAGGCCGTAAGAATCTAGCAGATATGTTGACCAAGACAATCACCATTGACAAACTGAAGTTGTGTGCAACTTTAGTTGGCCTTCAAGATTGATGAAGGAAGATCGAGTTGTTGCGGTGTTCCTCTATGTGATGAAGATAATGAAGAGCTTGTGTTATCAGGTTCCAAGTGGGAGATTGTTAGGTCGAAGGACACTGATACGTACTGTTCACTCAACCCTACTGTTCACTCAAACATTGTGTAACCCTAATTCTATACTTATAAATAGATGAGGGGGTGCCTCTTTTACGTTAAGAGAGTTATATTTTTTCTGATCATAGTGAAAACCGCAGCAGCTATCGACGTAGCCCTATTATGGGGTGAACCACATAAATCCTTGTGTTCTTGTGTGTGTGATCTATTTGATTAATTTTTTTTTCCTTGTTTGTTATTTCATGTCTCACCAATCTTGGTTAAGAAGGGTCAATTCCTAATAGTTTTTAGCAACAAAACATATTTAACCGAAACAAATAGAGTGGTAATTCTAATGGTCCCAAAGGTAGCAAAGGTTGGCCATAAGTCACGAAAAAAGTTGGAGTTGGTATTACTAAAAAAGTAATGCAACAGTTTGAGACTGGAATTGTTAGAGAGATAGAAGAAAAACCAACCTGGGTTGGTGGGATATTTCTTAAGGAATGTGGCTAAAAATAAGTAGTTTGAGGTGGACACGTGTTGAACTGTCGAAGTGGCCAAACTCGTACTGTGAGAGAGAGAGAGAGAGATTTCCAAGTCATCCAATACAAGGTCTACCCTCAGGCTCTGTATATTAACTTTCATTTTAATTTTGGTGAAATATTGAGATATGATCCCATGCACTCATTTTTATAATCAAAATTTTCAATTCTTCAGAGCACCAGATTAAGTAATAGAAGTGAAGAGTCTACTGTCAAGGCAGACATAGAAGCGAGAAAAAATTTAACACTGGGGAGTGAAATCTTGTTACATTTACAATGAAAATTGATTTATTTGTATGGCCAATTTTTTCGCATGCAATTTTAGGAAATTTTAACGAGGGGTGCAACTCAAGCATATTCAATTGGGTTGAGGGGTTGCTCAAGTTGTGCCTAGATTTGTCGAGACCTTCTTGAGTCTGACCTTTAGCCCAATTTTGTGTGCTCAAGGCTGTCTTAAGTTCAATATATTGAATTGGGGGATAAGAAACTGTTGCAGGTAAAGTTAACAAAAAAAAAGTGGTTTTATTCATTAATTACAGTTTTTTAAGTACAAACAACTAGGTGGTATGAAATTGGCATGAATAACTAAACATAAAATCCAAATATGCTCCTACTCATGACAATAGTAGCACCAACAAAAAAAAATTATAATTGGAGTTAAAAAAACAAAGGGAAATTAAAAAAAAAAAAAAAAAGTCATAAGTTTGAGCCTTCTAACAAAATAAACTTCGAGTATTTAATTTTGTCAATTTAAACCCTATTATTTTGATTTGTTTTCAATTTAAACCATTTGTCTATTTTTGTTATGTAAAACGGACAAGAAAATGGTATTTTAGTCATTAAAAAAAATGAGGAAGATGTTATGTATGGTGATACAGTACAATAGGGTAGGTAAATAGACATGTGGCATAATATGATTAGAGCTAGGACTAAATTGACAACTTTGAAGATCAAAGTAATAAAAATTAAAACTTAAGGGACTAAAATGATAAGGAACGACTTTAGGGACTAAAACTGTCTTTTAGTCATACTGTTCCCATTAACAATATAGACGAACGTTAGAGCTATGACCAGATTGATTCAAATTGACAATTTTGAGGACCAAAATGACAAAATTGAAACTTAAGGGACTAAAATAAAAAAAATCACATACTTTAGGTATTAAAACTGTCTTTTATCCAAGTTTTGATATTTGGAAAAAAGAAAACTAGTTCACCTACTTGGTAGTGCCCAAGAAAACTACCCTTATTTTCTGTATCTTCTTTTTTCACAACTACACATATTTATTCATAAATTTAAGATCGAAATACCATCTTAAGATTATCCAAGAAATATCTAATTTCCATTTATTTAAATTGTTTTTAGAAATGTTAAAGTTAGTAGTAAGAGAGTGTAGATACGCCCTTGGGCTTCATGCTACAGTTCGGACTCAAATGTCACGGTTCTTAATCTGATCTCACAATGTGCGATATGAGATTGATAAATCACTAAAGAGTCCAAATCCGGCAAATCGTTTTGGAAAACTAATTTTTGTAAAGAAATGCCAAACATGAACTGCTTTGCCAGATACAAAGTCGCCACCTAAATATTTATTTTGAAGGAATTTAGGAAATCCTGACTCATGCCTAAGGCCACGTATCCGTCATCACCAAAGTTGCCTCGGCTCGAGAACTTGGGTACCCGATCAACGGCTGTATTAAGCATGA